GGCCGAGATAATCAGACAACTGAAATACAAAAAAGGATAGGTCTCACATGGGCTGCCTTTGGTAGATTGAATAACATTTTCAAGTCTAGTATCCCAGTTTGTTTAAAAAGAAAGGTTTTTAACCAGTGCATTTTGCCGGTTAAAAAATAGCCAGGACTAAATGGGCTTAGGCCGAACATGTTGCCAGATTAACGGATGACAGACAGACCAAAAATATTCTGGAATGGCGACCAAGGCAAGATGCATATCGAAGCAGACTAGATGGACGAATGATATCATGCGCATTACCACAAACTGGATGCAAGAAGCTCAAGACAAAAATAGGTGAAAAATTTTACGGGAGGCCTACGTTCAGCAGTGGACAAACATAGTCTAATTGATGATGATGATGAGATCCACTAAAAGTTATAAAGCCAAAAGAAAAACTTATGATGATAATTTGAATAAGAGATTTCTAACGCTAGAATATGATTCTAAAATTGTTCACCAAGCAAAAACTAGTTGTATTTTTTAAGCCCATGTATTTTCACTGAACATTATTGCTTTTGAGTTTAAGCGTGACACTCTCGGAAAAAAGCTTACGAAATAGCGAGCAATGACCTGTTTAAAACTCGCTGCTGATTATAGGAAATTACGCTGAAACTTTTTAAATAATTACCAAAGTGTAATATTCATTTCACCGCAGGGTGATATTAGTGGTGAAAATTAACTCCGGCGCATAATTTAAGATTGCGATACACAACTTGGTAATTTAGTAGTCGTAGATTTCACTGTAAAATATTTTTGTGCACGAAGATACTTTTAAACTATTTTTATTTTAAGTGTATGCAGAAATATTCTTAATGATATATTTTAGCGATACAAAAATTTGTTAATAAGTGAAAAAAAAATAACTATAATCTAATTGTATAAAACACATCAAACATTTTTGAGGTACCCCATTAATATTCCAGGTTTTTCAATAAAAACTTAATTCTTTGTTAATATAATACATACTATTCGATGAAAAAAGGCAGCAAATATTTGATTTCACGCAAACAAATCCTATGTATCTGTTGATACGTATTTCGACATAATAGGTGTCGTCAGAACAGCTATTCATAGGAGTTCTCAACGTGAAAAATCAATATTTTCTGCCTTTTAAGAAGCAACAATAACATGGCTTCAATACGGACGCGCTAGTGACATCTAATTACAAAAATCGTAAAATAGTTTCGAAACACAATTCAGATTTCTGCTTTATAATCTGAACCTTCTAAAAATTTCAAGGCAAACAGACGTTGATAAAAGATGTTAAAAGAGACATGGGGAATCTAAAATTTGCATTCCACGACATGTCTTTTACAACTAAGCAGAAATCCTTAGCGAATTGTGCTTCTAGTACTCACACAGAGTAAATCCGAATAAAATGAAAAAGGTAGCAAGTATTTGATTTCGCTCAAACAAATCCTATGTATCTGTTGAAACGTATTTCGACCTAATAGGTCTCGTCAGAACAGCTATTCATAGGAGTTCTCAACGTGAAAAATCAATATTTTCTGCCTTTTAATTCTGCCTGAATTGTGTTTCGAAACTTTTTTACGATTTTTGAAATTAGATGTCGCTAGCGCGTCCGTATTGAAGTCATGTTATTGTTGCTTCTTAAAAGGCAGAAAATATTGATTTTTCACGTTGAGAACTCCTATGAATAGCTGTTCTGACGAGACCTATTAGGTCGAAATACGTATCAACAGATACATAGGATGTGTTTGCGTGAAATCAAATATTTGCTGCCTTTTTTCATTTTATTCGGATTTACTCTGTGTGAGTACTAGAAGCACAATTCGCTTAGGATTTCTGCTTAGTTGTAAAAGACATGTCGTGGAATGCAAATTTTAGATTCCTAATGTCTCTTTTAACATCTTTTATCAACGAATGTTTGCCTTGCAATTTTTAGAAGGCTCAGATTATAAAGCAGAAATTTGAATTGTGTTTCGAAACTATTTTACGATACATACTATTCGATTTGAAAACTTGTTCTCTAAAAAATAATGATATATATTACAAATTAATCTGTCAATTGCAGTTGGAGTTGGCTAGGAGACCGGTGGGAGTCAATAACGGTCAATTGTAAAGTCAATCGGAAGCTTTCGAGTTCCTCCGGCTCTGTGCCTTCTTTTGATAGGTACATTTATTGACTGTAATGTTGACGCTCAAACTGTAAGTTTGTAATTTGTAAAACCGGTGCAATAGACCGTGTGCTTCTAGAGAATTAATAGGATTTTGTGACTTATTAGTGATTATTCTATAATAAAACTTTATTTTTTAGTTATTAGGGATTACGAAAAAAAGCAAAAAGATTGTATGCACTTTTTAAAAAATTTCAAAATTTCGACGGGTGATGAGTATATTAACGAAGAGGAATTGGGAGAAGAAGATCGTGTAGAAAAAAACTTGGAGAAAAGCGATACGAAGCAGGAAAATGAAGAATTAGATGATGAGAAAGATTTTGCCATTGGTCCATACTTTTCAGGCAAAGATAATGAGACAAAATGGGCTGAGCATAATAATCATAAGAACGTCAGAGCTCGAAGTGATAATATCCGATATTTTAGATATCTGGAACAATCAAATCAATGTTGCAAATAATTATTAATGGGACCAATACAAAAATGAAAGCAGAAAAGCAGTTCAGTCGCGATCGAGATATATACCCAATAAACATTAATGAAAATCGTGCCCTTTTGGATCTTGCAAGTGTAATAATAACAAACATCACGATATTAGGAAATTAACTAAGGTACATGCGAACTGATGATATCGATACAAGGCATGATAGAGTTAGTTAGGATAAATTAGCGGCAATAAGAGATCTTATTACCAAGTGGAACGAAAATAAGAAAAAATGTTTCTCTCAGGCTGATCTTTCCAAGCTGATGTTGCACGTTAGTTTGACGTGTTTCATGATTTCGTATGAAATCGTAAATGTATCGAATGACGTAGCATGATTTCGCGACTGTTGCATCAATGTAAACAACTTGGTAATAATCATACACCACTAATAACTAGACGTTTCACGTAGGTAGCTCAAGGTCAAACTCGTCAAACTAAACTAAATGTCATTTGTAGTACCGATACAAATCTTTTGATGTCGCTATACTCCACATATAGTCTATACTCTGCAATTTAGTTTTAGAACCAAACTAAAACTTATAATTATCAATCACTTACTCCGGTTTCAGTAATATAATTGATTAGCGTCTATTAATGGTTATTATTCGTCTAAATTGTTTGATTTGATGGTTATTATTGCCAAAAAATCAAACTAAACTTGGTTAAATATCTCTGGATTATTGTTAGCAATAACATGTGGCTTAGTGTTATAAAAAATCCTAGTTTAGATATGATGAATTCCACTACAGTTTTTAAAACAAATCGAATATGAAGATATGTTTGCTTCTACATGGAGTCATAGCTTGTACCAAAATGCAATTTCCGTGAACAAATAGCTAATTGATTTTGGATTCTTCTTCTAATCTACATCCCAGAAGTATTTCAATGTTGTGGAAGCAAAATGTAATATAAAGTAGGTAAGCCTAATATGACATTACATTGTAATTAATGAAAATTATTTTACTTAAAGTGAATCATGGAATAAATTATTATATCAACTTTTTGTTTTAGTTGAAAGTTCTTCAACAAGTAAAGATGTACAATCTACACACACGCTTTAATCATTTGAGTACAATTTTCAGTGGTAATAAACCATATTTCTATTGTATTTTAAATTAATATACAAGGTTGTTTGACATGTACTAAATAAATAAATTATATTTTGTTTTATTTTTTCGTAAATGGTATTGTGTTTATTTGGATTTAAAAAGAATTTGCACCTTTTAAAAATTAAAATGCATTTTTTTTCAATTATATACCAAATTGTATTTAAATATTTTAAGCTTTTTTTAAAATTTTCCCAAAAAAAAAAAATTTGGAAATTCCCCCGTAATTTTCCGCTTGATTTAGTTCCGATACAAATCTCTTGAAGCGTTGAATTTCATATCTTAATAAAGTATTGTCGTGAAGTATCTAGAGGTAGGTGATTTGTGGTAATATTGCTGAAAGCCACGAGAGTAGTCAACGTGAAACTACCTTCGATATGATCGGTATGTGGCAGGATTAGCTTGTAGAAATGTTATAACTGTGTGGGGCCTTAGAACATACTCACAGCATACCATACCGTATATGACTAAACTTAAAGGAATAATTTTCATGAAACTAACTTGCACGCTAGACTTTCATTGAGACTCATATTAAGGTGGACACAAGTACATGTGCTGTGAGGCTTAAGTCTCAATATTTTGATCAATTTATTAGTGTAAGAAAGATTTCCGATCCAAGTGAAAATTGAAATGTAATTAAACCACCAGTGACAGTTTTCTGCAATTTCGTATTATTTTGGCAACCCAAATGTCATTCTATTCGCGGCTTTAAATTTTTTTCTCAAAATATTACATAAAATAACGTATTTTAACATGATTTTCCGCAATTAATTAGATGCCTTGAGTAATTGAAAAAACTAATTGCGTTGTAATTTTTACAATTTATTAGTTACAGCTGCAAAATAATTCATTGAAATTTTGTATTTATTTAATTACTTCTCTGAAATTTTAATTTACACCTAATAATATTGTGTCCTGGAAAAAAGCTAAAAATTCTAAGAAAGCGTTATTAATATTTATCTTAATATAAGAATCAGTCATAATTTTCCAAATTTTAATTTATTATTTTCAGAAATTGCTAATTAATATATATGACTCATAATCCTTTTAATTTTTGCTTGAAACATAAGTAAATAATAGCTAATAAATTATGAAATAATTCATATATTTAAATTAAATATATGAATAAAATAAAATATTTGGAAACAAAAATTTTAGAAGAAATGATAAGGACAACATCATAAATGAAAATTTAGAATAAAATCAGATAAAAAGTGTTTAACTACTTTAGTTTGCGCTTACCTCGAATAATTAGATCTATTTAACTTCCTGTTGTGCGGTCTACTATTGTAAAAGAGTGGTTCGGCGTCGGTACTGTTTTCCTGGAACTGGTTATTGGAATTTTGACCATGTTGATTACTTTTGTAGGTACCGTAGGGATCTGTAGTGGAAGGATGCTGCTAAAACAAAAAATATGCAATTTTTGAAAGATGTATTAAGAATGATTATACAATTAATTAAAATTAAAATTATAGAATAGAAACCATTTAACACTTTATTTGTCAAATAAAAAAATATTGCAACTATATAATTTGAAGAATAAACTTTTTTGTGAACTAAAGTGCAAAAAATGTGCTTAAATCTCAAAATACTGAAATACATACTTCCTAAAATAGCAACAACTATATAAAAACTAGCGGAAACAACTTATTTAGTAGTATTGTTAGTATAATTTTCGAGAAGAAACTTATCCTGTGCTGTCAAAACACCAGCAAAGATACTGCAAAAGTTCGAGCACATTGAATGCTTCTCATGTTATTTCTTATGGGAAAGTTTCAGAAAAAGAAGCTAAGGTTTACTCTACTTATTTTTTACTCCATTTTTTGGTGGAGGTACAACAGTTCACTTAATCGTGACGTATAGGCCCCATTGAAAATGTGTGACCTAAAGAAATTAAAATTTAAATGATACAGACGAGAAGATATATATGTAGTCCCACAAAATATTATACATGGAGGTTGGAAACGGTACATTAAAACGGTTGGAAAGTTTACATACAAGATGGAGAAATACGGAAGAAAATAAAGCAGGCAAACAGAGCTTATTTTGGCCTCTTCCATATATGTAGGTCTAAAAATGTCCACCGAAATACAAAGATGAGAATCTATAAAACCTTAATTCGACCAGCAGCATGATATGGCAGTGAAGCATGGGTCCTGAAAAAAACATCCAAAAGCAACGGAATCTTCAGAAACCGATACAACAAAGAGCTTTATCAAATTTATAAGGAAGCACTACATAAGAAGACCAATTGGAGAGCCAAGAAAGTGCTGGGAAGACACAGTAAACAGCGACGCACAAGCCGTTTTAGGAGTCCATGTACGGAGAAGATCAGCCACAGATAAGCAAGGATGGAGGCAAAAAATAAAAGAGGCCAAGGCTCAATTTGGGCTGTAGTGCCGGAGAAGAAGAAAGAATGAAATTAAAAGGGTCCAAGAAAATAAAAGTTCAAGATAAGTAACTTAACAAGATATTTTTAAAAAAGGCGGCAAAAGACTGAAACAAAGAATATTCCGCTGAACATTCGCAGTTTGACAAAAAAAAAAGAAATGAAAAATTTATTATTCGGATCTACAAAAAGAGACTGTAACGTTGTACACTTTACATCTTTATTAATTTATATTTAAATAATTAAATAATAATTATTTAAATTTCTTTAATAATTTTTTAATTCCTTATACTTCAGGTTCTAGTTTACTATTTTTTTCTTCAGAAAATAGTTGGCGCACTCTTTCTCTTTCTTTCGGTAGAATAAATATCCGTCCTCTCTCTTTCTGTGCGGTAGACTAAATATTCTGTTCTATGTTGACAGAAGAGCTAATTCCATCATAGGCATACGTCCTATGGCATCTGTACTTTACTTCATTGTAGTCACTCCCCACTATTTGTCAATCAGCTCTCAAACGTGGTGGAGTATATTTTTTGTCTGTAATTAAAATTTATAAAAGAAGGTAAAAATTATTGTAAGGTTTATTTTATCGTTTGCAGAAAAATTTTGGGTTTATTGGATAATTTCTTAAATATTCTATTGAATGTTTTATGAAATAGTTTGAATGATTTATGAAATAATGTAGAACTGAATAACTGCAGTTGTCTGTAAGACCTACCCACATAATCTGAAGATGGCCACAGGACCTACCCACATAATCTGGAGGCAACATGTTAACAGGAGCAAGTAATCAAATATATGCCATAAGTGCCAACTAAATTTTCATTGTTTAATTCATAGATTAAGACAAGACGGATTCACACTTGAGAGACTGAGCTAGGCAAGGCATAGACGATAAGCTCCCATAGTTGATTAAGGTATTATTTTATAATAATATTTCAATTCTATTTAGTAGTCTTATCGTTACAAAACTATAGAGATATAGCACCATTAGAAGTAATCTACAAAATCGTCATCATCATCATCATACAGCTTTCATTTATCACTTTCACTGCTGGACATAGGCCTCCCTTAAACTCTTCCATTCTTTACGACTTTGTGCTCTTTGTTGCCAATTGATGGTGATGCCTGATGCCCAACGTGTAAGTGGTCTTCCTCTACTACGTTTGTCTGTTCTTGGCCTCCAAATGGCCGCCAAAGGCCAAAAACCATGGAACGGTTGAACGATTGAAAAGCCGAGTGACTGCTTAGGTACACGGCATGCAGTTTTGTAAGTTATACTGAGTACCATATACGGCCCTCAATATTTGAACTTAGCTTCTGGACTGAGTACTATAAATGTAGTCCTCGAATGACTCTTTGGCAATGCAGGGAAAAGAGGCTGGCAGTCAACCTGTTAAATATATGTATACTATCTAAATATCTATAAAATCCAAGTTCTCGTACAAAATTAAAATGGAACTTAACAGAATTTAAACCAGGTACGGAAATGTAAAAAAGCAGCCTCACGAATGAAACATCTTACATAAATCCTTGACTGACCGCACTACATTTAGCTCCACTGTAAACCAGTGCGCTAATAAATGCGAATTTCCTGCTGACCACGGCAAGCGAATTGACTTTCTGAAAGCTCTAAAAATGTACTCTGCAGCTAGTTATTGGCGATTTGTAAATATCGCCTGGTTTTTCGTGTTTGCGAAATTTATGACGATAAAGTTAGCAAGCAGTGGAGAATAATATTAAACAATAGTTTCTGAAATGTCGCAATTTTATTCAGTAATTTTAGTCGCAAAATAAATAAAAGTGTTATTTTATGTTTAGTGTTGTGGAAATTCAGGAAAGTTTCACTGTAGATTAAATGGCAAATAAACTGTTGAGATATAATAAGAAATTTGCTGATAAGAGTAAGTTGACACATAGTTAAATGTATATGGATTGGAAACGGAAGAATAAATAATTTTCCGCCACCATCAATGCTTGTTTATTTTATTATTTCGATATATAAAAATTAATTCTCCTCTTTTAACATTTAATTTTACCTGTATTATAATCGGATGCAAAAAGATCGAGATAAAATTGCAGCAGTTTTCCGCAGATGGTCAAATTTCATTAGTCAGAAGGACATCTTGTAAATTTAACATTATGTAGGTAGGAAAGATAAAACTGATTACATAACCTAAAAAACAATTACCATTACCATTGATATGGAAAAGCGATAAACTATATTAGTCCAGTTGTCAGAGATTTGACCCCTAAAAATCATACGAACAAGCTAAATTTTGCCCAGAATATTAATTTTGTTGACCAAAAAGATGCAAAAAATTTACCACATTTACCTCTGGGTTTCCCCCTTAGCAGCCCCTTCCAACGGAGTGTAAAAACGCAAAAAATCGATTTACCAAGAATACTAAGGCACCATAAGAAGATACATGGATCGAAAATGAGTTTCATAAAGAATCCAGTGGGGTAAGTTTTGCTTTATTTCATCGACTTAATGAAACAAATTTGGAAGGCACTAAAACTTTGAGATTGATCTCTGATGGATGCGGTGGTCAAAATAAAAATTGCATTATAGTCGCCACATTTGCTAGATGGTTTTTGGATGCCCCACAAAATTTACATTCTATTGAACTTATATACCCAGTCACAGGTCCCTCATTTCTTTCTTTTTACTGTTGAAGAAAATAGAAGTTATCACGAGGTCAGAGTAATAGAATGACCAATGACGTATTCAGCCAATTTGGCAAAGTAATTCGTATGGGAACAGATTTTGAAGTTGCTAATTGGAAAGGAGAAGCTATAGGGTGTTAAAAGGCACTGCTTCTTGGCACTTAAGTTGTCAAATATTAAACGTATTATTCTTACCAAGACTAAAAATGGATTAAACGTTTTGGTACGGGGAGAGCCGCAATATCCGAATGCGAAGCAAAAAGTGTTTGTAAGGGTGAAAAAGGTATTAGGATGATTGATACTAATATTATTGAATTTAAAAAAACATATAAAATCTTATCAAATCAAAAAATTGAAAAAACTTATAAAATCTTGAGTTTTACCCTAATGCTTTAAACATGAATAATGATATGCTAGAAAACATTATTGATTCTGAAGAAAATAAATGAGATATTGAACATATTGAAGGGAAAGCTGATGCTTGTGATGAAATTTCAGATTTGGTTGTTCCATAAAAATTTTTTCTTTAAGATTTTTTTGATAAAAATTTTGTTTCAAGGAAGATATGTGTTTTTTTGCATTCATATATTATTTTTTCTGTTGCAAAATCGGCATTCTCCAAGTTTTTGAAGCAAAAACCAGAAATCTGCAAACTTAAATTCTTAATTACTTAAAAATTAATGAAATAATTAGGTTAGTTGTGTAAATAACTAAAGCAAATGTAGAAATAAATATAAATAATAAAAAACTTAAACTTCTATTTTCTGAAAAATTTGTCGAAGTGTAGATTGCTGGTTTTGCTTCTAGACCCCACATATATTATATTTAACAAAATTATTTATTACGCTTACCTGGTGGTGGCGTCTGTGGACATCAGGACTGAGATGCTGCTGGTTCTGTGACGGTCCCAGCACGTGCTGCTGGTTATAGGCGTTCGGCGTATCGGCCCTTTCCGACGAATTCTCTCTAGACGTTTCCAGAGAGCGTTGAGGAGTGTTGATCTGGTATGCAGCAGATCTAAACTGGGACGCGGACGAATTGGGGTGTTGTCCCACGGGGTAGTTTAGGTCGGAGGTGTAGTCGCTGTCCTCGCTGTACCCCGCTGAAATGTCATTTTCAAAGTGATTATCATGAGCTGGAAAAAATAAGGGGCACTATAAAGAAGCATGCTGGCAAGGTGAGTGAAAGGGGTTAGTTGTAGTGTGCTTTGGGTAGATTATTAATGAAGAATGTTAGTAATAAATTTAGATTTCATATAAAATAAATAAATAGGAATTAAAAAATTACATAAAAACAATATAAAATACACTTATTGTCCATCAGTTTACCGAAGCCGAAGTTTACTTCGACTAATAACAATAACTTCCATTATTGTTTTAGGAATCTTATTGAGGCGCAGGTCTTTATGTTTGTTTTATGTTTAATTTAATAAAACAACAGAGTGTTTTTCAGGGGCGAAGTGTAGATACATGTCGGAGTAAAAGGTTATTGCTAGAGTCGTTCAACAGCTTCCAGTAAGAGGTTTTGAATTTGCGGTTCAGCTATTTTGCTATCGCGACTTCTTGTTACTTCGTATAGATGCCACTGCTAGTGTACCAGGCTGTTATTTTAATTACAACGGCCAAATACTAGACTCCATTTTATTTCGGTTTGAACTCCATAAGTATTCCTGATGAGGAGTTTAATAATAAGGATTGCTCCTTCATACTTCATCACAATCACATCTGTAGCTCCCTGATGAAGGAGGAATTTACACTGAATGCGTGAAAACCATACTCAAAGACCACAGAAATTAAATGTATGGTCAGTTATAGTAGGTACTTATTTAATTGGGCCATTTTTTATCGAAAGAAATTTACCGTCAGATAGTTGGTGTAAATGTTCGGCGTTATTTAGATGAGATATTTCCCGGACGATAAATTGGTAGACAAGGTAGAATTGAATGGCCTCCACGTTCACCCGATCTCAATCCTAAAGATTCTTTTTTTTTAGAGATACTGGAAAAATTCAGTTTACAAAACTTAACCAGCAAGTATTGCATAGCTAAGGCAATGAATTATCGATGAATCTCGAATAATTTCTAGACAATCATGGAGAAATGTGGTAGACGCATTCTACTATCGATTAGAGTGCTGTCAACTCACAAATGGAGCACATTTTGAACACTTAATAATGTAACTATTATGTTAAAAAATATTCTAAACTATCAATTGTTACGTTTTAATGTATTTGAAAATAGTTAGTATTAAAAAATATATTGAAACAATTTAGGCGTTGCCAGACTTCTGTTTTATGTATTTAAGACCTTCCAGACTACATAAAATCAAAAGTGTTACATCTGGTTGAACTCGTATTTAATAGAAGATTCCAATAATGACTGAATATACAGGGTGATGTATTTGAAAAACTAAAGTTACTAGTAATATAAGAGAAACTAAAAATCTGGCAACAGTGCAAATACCAAATATGGAATCTCCGTATCCCAAAATAGGCGTTTCTCAAATTTTGTATAATAATGTCTAGTAATTTATGAGATAATTAGCTGTTTCCAGACTTTTGGGCCACTGTGTATATTTCTCTGAACTACAAGCCTATGATCGTACCAGTATTGCATGTATGCCCAATATAATTATCAGTCCCGATACAAGTATCCCGATATCCTGATATTAACCAACTAAAGACACGTATATATGTTAATTTGGAACACAAATGTGTAGCAGTTGTGCATAATAATTACATACGCAAGCTGCATTCGTCAGGGTCCCGTAGCTCCTCCCCTATGTTGTTCAGTTTAATTGCCGTAATTTTAATTAAATTGAGAGAAGCGAGTGGATTGTTACTAACAATTGTAGATGTTTATTGAATTATATGATAATTGTATGTTGTTTGTTCTGCCGCTATTTATAAAAATAATTGTAATAATCATTACTTTTTTTTCTCACTGCTAAGAAAAATTAAATTAAAAAACCTTTATAATGAAGTAAATAAAGTTAAAATTTTAAATTGATTAAAAATGTTCCAATTGTCCAGAACAAAAGGTCTTTGATAAGACCATCATCAGTCAACTTTAAAGTACTTGCTAAATAATCTCATCACCAAGCAGTGAATGTGTTAAAATTATATATTAAATACCTCCTTAAAAGTATAAATTGTAACATTATTATTAAACCATAATTCATTTGTACTGCGGTTGGTTAGATCACTGTTTTCCTTTCGGACATCCCCTTCTAATTTCAACCGTACAAATTGGTCACATTTTACGTATCTAACAACACTGTGCTCTAAACAAGATCATAGAGCCTTTACAAAACGGATGCAAAGGATACTGCAAATCACCGAATTTTCATTTCTACCCATGCATACACCCTTTACCGCTATTGGCTGCTTTTATTGCCTACAAGAAAGCCTTTGATTTAGTACCACATTAATGGATTATTAAGGCTTATTAAGAATATATAAAGTTGATGAGAACATTAGATTAGATCTTTTGTGGTTTATCAGGTATCAGGTAAACAGTATCGAAAATATCGCCATCAACTTGGACCCGCTGGGAGACTCGTTGAGGGGACTCGTTGAGTGCACTGTGGTTCTGGCCATGTACACCCTATTCTAGCTATTGAACTCCACATACTCAGATTTAAGCATAAATAAAAACAATACTGTGATCTGCTTCGTTAAGTTCCTTCTTTACGAGGTTGGAAAACATAATCATTCAAACCATTTCTTCAAGTTCTTAAGCCATGATATTCTTTGTCTTCCTACATTTCGCTTTCCTTGTATTTTGCCGTGCATAATAATTTGAAATCATGAGTATTTTGTCCTTTCATCACATGTCCTAAGTAGTCAAGCTTTCTTCTTTTGATACTCCATATTATTTTCGCGCTTCATCTTCTATTCATATACGAGGTAATTCAATGAAACGGTGCAATTTCAAACAAACAAAAAAATTATACTACACAAATAAAAATTTTTGTGTAAGAAAAAAAAGATTCTGTTTTAGAAGATAATATTAGAAAGGTGGCCTTCATGTTGTCGAAAAAAATCTTACAGAGCCGTGCTACAAAGCTGTTTACGACATTGAGTAACATTGTTTGAGGTATTGCTTTCACTTCTTCGCGTATCCGTTATTTCAAAGCCTCGATACTTTTAACTTTAGATACCCCCAAAGAAATTTGTCTCATAGGAAGAGGTCCGAATTACAAGGTAGCTCAAACATATCGCTGTTTTTATGCATAAGACCACCGAGGAACAATATTTTTAGTAAATTCATTGATACTCGTAATACTCGTTACACTATTGTGTTGAAAGCTCGTGTGTTTATTTCTGCAATTTTTGATTGCTAAAAGAAAAAAATATTTAATATGTGCACGTAGCGATCAGAGTTTACCGTTACTGCTTGCCTATCTTCGTCTTTGAAAAAATAAGGTTCGATGATCCCTTACGAAGAAATTGCACAACACAAGGTTACCTTTTCTGAGTATAGGGGTCTTTCCTGTAATTGCCGCTGATTATTGTCAGACCTTTAGCAAAAACTTTGTTTACAAACCGACTTAGATGAAAGTGAGCATCATCACTCATCTAAAGATTATGCATCAAGTTGTCATTTTCATTAACACGCTCCAACATTTGTTCACAAAACCTTAGTCGGGTAAGATTATCTCAAAATTCTCCTTGTAGTTGTATAGCTTAATCTCAAGTTTAAGCTTTGACATCGTAGAGATCTTCGAGGACTCACCTGTAATGGCTCTACACCATAACCGTAGAATACTCGCACGGTTTAGTATTCTGTGGTGTGCGAGCAGTTCTGATACTGCCATGTCTTTTCTACGATTTCAAACCACTACTTTTAAAGTTTCTCACCCAGGTTTGAATAGCCTTGTTAGACGGAACTGGAGCGCTGGGCATCAACGGCAATTGGTAGTGTAAATGAAACGCCCATGACACACGCACAAAACTTTCACCATTTTTGTAATAAGCTTTCACAGCAAATGCTCGTTGTTTACCTAACCTCTTCTTTATAATAACTAAACATTTCACTCTCTAGATTCACAATGTTTACATCGAAAACCCACGGCTTCTCTATTTTTTGCTGCCAAATCGTATTGTTTCACCTAATTATCTATTAGTTACGTCTTCGTTTGATATTCCTTTGAGTCCATGGTACTTGTAGGATTTTTTTGTAAAAACCAAAATTCAGAAGCGGTCAACTTATTCAAATTCAGTTGTTTTAATACTATGCTTTCGATTCATAAAGAAGAGTAGAGAACACGTAACACCGAAGCATCCTTAGATGTAGTTCTAACCTTATATCCGGATAACAAAGAAACTTTTTTAATTTAACGAATGATGCACGTGCTATTTCAATACGTGTCTTAATTTATTTGATTTGGTCTATATTTGGCGTTTCCAAGTATTTGTAGGTATCCACACTTTCAGTCACAGTATATTCAACAATTAATTGGATCTTTGCATCTGGAACTGTACTGGCCAAAGTTAAGCATATGTTGTATGTAGATGATTTGAAATTCATTTAAAACTACATAGATCAAATACTAAAATCTGTAGAACCCTGCTTAAATATTATTATTATGCACTTTGAAGTGGACAGTACAGTATATCTAGCAAGACCACTGTGAAATAATCCTCCTAGATGAATCCTTATTTCACAGCAGATGGGAAGTGAATGAAGAGGTCTGCCAAAACTTAGATTGAAAGAATAATGTTAACAAAGATGTTAGCAAAAATAGGCAGCAATCAGCAAAAATATTGAGGACCTATATATCAACATAAGGAAACTCCCACTCTATAAACATGTTTAAAAAGAAGAGATTTTTTGAGATTTTCTTTGAAACTGAATAAATTGTACAGTAATATCATAGTGTCTATTTTATTTACCGATCCAATTATTTTGTAATATGCTTTTATATTTTTCTTGCAAATGAATTTATGTTATTTAAATAACAATAAATAAAGTAAGAATATTTCATTTCTCTAAACAATTAATTAAAATAAACCAGTACATTTGTTACATTTCGTTTTATATCGTATACATTAATAACACAAAAAAATATTTTTGCATCGCTGAGATTGATAATACAAACATTTTTAGTATGTTTTAAATAACACAAATCGCTATTTCGTTTGATCTTAATTTCGCGTAGAGATTTGTATAGCAAATAAACATAAATATTTCCACTTAGTTTGCTGATGTGCGGACGAGAATGATTTGGGAGAATATCACTATTCGATGAACCACGATAGCAATCAGGTTCCATTGTTGTAGTCATGAAGAATTTGGTAACTTCAGAAATTCAGTAATGTAAAGTGCCCAGTAATTGTTGAGTTCCCCCTTCAACCCCCTATAAGCAATTATATATTCTTACAACTTTCTTCCAGCAACGTGGTAAGCTATATGTATTGTTACAAATGGTAGGCAAATTAAATTGTTACATATTAAACGTTAATTCAAAAAGAAAAAATTATAAATATACTCACAGTGTCCAAGGTATACCATCTGCCGCCGAAAATTATCCAGCCTACCTTCTTGGTCTATGCTCATGCTGTTGTTGAGCATTTCCAGTTTCCTTTGGAGATCCATTGCTTCTATATTTTCTGCGTCTGACAAAACAAAAAACATAAACGATATACAGTGCTGTACATTGTTGACAATTGATAAGGATCAAAGTAATATTTTACGTCATAAATAGTCGGATTTTGTAAAACTTTAATATTAATACAACTAATTTGATATCAACTTTAAACGAAATAAAATAAATTTTGTTTTTGTGCCCATCCGTTTTTTTTTCATTTTTTTTTTACCATCGTCAGCAAGGAGTTGAATATTAAAGTAGCATAATTTCATTTCATATTACTACAGTTTGGGTTCAGTTCAGTTATTTTCAATAGCCTCGAAGATGTTTAGATATTTTCAAACTGTGGCTCAACATTTAGAGTTTTTACAGATTGTAAATAGAGCTTGTAATTGTTATGTCACAAATAATGTAGGTCATATGTACTCATATGTTCATGGTGAAGGGCGAAAACGGACTACCAACCTGTTGATGACAGATATATATGCGAATTATTGTTAGACGGAACCTAACATATACTGCTTCTTGCATCAACTAACCAGGGAACATCGCGGACTGAGAAGACTAAGGGCTGAAGAACAGAACAACTAAACAATCATCGAATGGAGAAAGTTTTTATTTACAGATGAGTCTAGATTTCGTATAAACAATTCGATGGTCGTATTTTGTATTTATATAATAAACAATATACGGGTGGATACAACTGCTTTTGGGTGAAGCTTTATTTGCGTTTGGGATAGTATTTGTTTTGATTGCGGCATAGACTCGGTTGTTTTGAAAAATCCAACGATAATGGCTTAAAGATATAGAGATATGACTGTAGAACCAATTATTGTATCATTTATGGGGGCAATCAGAAAAAGGGTGCAAGAATTGTAAACAAATATGAACAGTATTGAGCATTTCAGGGCTGCTATTACACGACAACTATATCTGTTGCGATAATCCTGTAAATATCTTTGAACAGTTAAGTGAAGATGTAAAGCAGATATGGACAACTTTGGATCCAAATGTATTAATGGAGTTAGAAGTTAAATTCGTTCACTAGGAGGTCCAAGAAAATATTAGTATAAATATTTTTATTTAAGTTTTGTAAGCCAGTTATCTCGTTATATTGGATTTTGTAGAATAGAGTTTTATGTTACTTTATTTTAATAAATTCTTTTTCTTGCTGATTATTGATATTTCAAAAAATGTATGTATTTTCTAACTATAACCAACGAGAAAATATTGCGACTTGAACAAATTTAAAATATTTGAAATTATAATTATGATCCTTATCAATAGTTAAACTATATATATTTAGCCCAGTCAAAAGAAAAAACGTTATTTTTTATTCAATTTAAAATCGGGATTATTTCCAAATAAAAGTTTAGGTAAAAACAAATGAGTTTTTTATGAAAGTATCTGTTTAACTTTACTTTCGGTGAAAAATGTATAAAAAAATAGTAAAAAAGTAGAAGTTACTTTATACTATTTTTAAAATATGCTATGATTAGCTTATTTTTGAAAGTTATAATTTCATGAGAAAACTATTTCATCTAAATTTTGATTTGGATAAGGTCCTAATGGGCTATAAGGGTAATAGGATATAATTTGACTGGGCTATAAGGGTAATATTTACTCTTGCTAGGGAACTGCCCCTTAAAGAATTTATATATTTACGAAACGTATCTCCCTCAAACACCGACTTTTCATATTATTTATGGAAATGATGATATTACCGAAAGTTTTAAAATTGTTGTGTGCTGTATATACTCACCGAAAGGTAGTTCAAATCGGCAATCTAGTAAAAGAGAATGACCAGTGGGCATTTTTGTACCGATGACCTCACCATCTCTCATCACCAATTCTGCTTCCAAAGACCGCCATTGACCAATTCCTTCCTGTAAATCAAAAAGCATTTTTCCTATTGAGAAGCAATTATTGCTGTGTCATATCAGTTGGAGAGTAGGTATGTTAATGTGTTTTAAGTTTTAAGAAAACAGAATAAGTACTGGCTTAATGATTTCAATAGACTTGTGAAAATAAAACAAAATACGTCTGCGATAACTATTTTTCATTATTAAATAATAAAGGCAAAAATGCACTCAATCTTTTATTGAACATGATGGCACCACAAACAGAGAAAAGAAAAACAATTGGAAATCCACATTTTTATGATTTGTCCAGTTTTACTTTCAGTTATTATTATTATAATATATCGAAAAACATTGTATTTAAAATGTTAAAGTTGGCCTTTATTTTTAAAAGAATCTTAAATAAGCCATTCTATAGTTACCTCGTTTGAATACTGTATAGTTTGTAGTGGTATCCAGTGGTATCCTATAGCTCGGTCCCAGATCATTCCTTTACTCCACACCTCTATTAGTAGACCAGTGTCTAAGTTGTTGGTTTCACTGAAAAGAAAAAGAAAGATAATAATAAAAATATATAAATATTGCAGTTTGTAGATTGCTATAACTATAAAATACAAAAGGCCAACTTTATTCGTAAGGTAAAGAATATAAAAAAAGCATCATATCAAAGTTATTTACATAATCAAAATAATAATAAAAGAAGGAAGGAGATATGGAAAAACTGTGAATCGTCAAACTGGTAAAAATAAAAACAATTTTGAGTGGAGCATTACTGATAATAATAAATTTATTGATACATCCAGAACACATAGCAAACAAATTTGGTGAGTATTTTTGTACATCAGTCAAAACACACATTATTAAAACATTTCAATAACTATACCTTTAACGATTTCTCAACTATGACAATTAACAACACATTCTTTTTTTCTGAAGTCTCACCATTTGATATTGAGAATGCTATATCTTCCTTAAACTATACCAGCTCAGTAGTTCTGAGGAAATACCTTTTAGTGATACAACATTATTTCTTGGTAGCATTCTAGAAAGTAATATGACATGGGATGAAAATGTCACTAAAGTCTGCAAAACAATGAATAAGGGTTACTATGCGATCCTTCGGTTGAAAACTCTATTTAATGCCAATCAATTGATAAGTGTGTATTATGCATTGGTTTATTCATATATAGCCTATAATGTTATCTTGTGGGGAAACTCTAGAAACTCTTCTAGAGTTTTTATAACTCAAAAGAGAATTCTTAGATTGATATTCAATATTAATAATAGACAATCATGTCGTAAATATTTTATTGAACACAGGCTGTTGACTTTTCATGCTTTATATATTTATAAGTGTATTATTCATGTCAAAACTAAATTTCAAAATTTTACCCTCAACTCTGACTTTCATAATTACCCGACAAGACACGGGAGGTTGATAAGCGTGTGTAAACACTCCACAACTCTCCTTGAAACTAGTCCTGATTTTGCAGGATCTAAATTTTATAATTGTTTGCCACTTAATATAAGAAATTAAAACAATATTCAAAAATTCAAAAATAAATTAAAAGTATGCTTGATCCAATTATGCGTTTACAACCTTAATGAATATTTTGACTTAATAAAAGACTACAGAGAATAAGGATCGACGGGTTCAGAGATGCTCTATATTGCATATCTTTGTTTTTTATTTTTATATTAATCTATATTTTATTGATTTTGTTTTATGTAATTGTCCTATATAACTTGTTGATCATGCTTTACGTACTATATGACTTGTCCTATATCACAATGTGATCTGATGGGATTAATAAAGAATATTCTATTCTATTCTTTTATCTCCCTTATTTTTGTAAACAGGAACCAACATACTATTTCTACATTTGTCTGGCATTTGTCCCATTTCCACTCTGCTAATTAATTATGTTTCAAGATTTAAAACTGTAAAAATTACCAGTTATAGTAGAAGTAAGTAGAGGGGCTTGACTTTTTCCAAATTATTACTTACTCTAATTAAACTGTTACAAAAACTAGAAATATATAGGCCAAACCTTCCAAAACGCATTATACCCAATAAACTCTTGGTGAATCATAAAGTTGGGCATTTCTTATACTTTGCGACAAATCATAAAATAAAAAGGAGGTTCTTAAGGTAATTAGTAAGTAAACTTGTTACAAAAACTAGAAATATACAGGCCAAACCTTCAAAAACGCATTATACCAATAAACTGTTTAATGAATCATAAAGTTAGACATTTCTTATACTTTATGACAAATCATAAAATAAAAAGGAGGTTCTTAAGTTAATTAGTAAGTAAACTTGTTACAAAAACTAGAAATATACAAACCAAACCTTTCAAAACGCATTATACCCAATAATGTCTTAGTGAATCATAAAGTTGGGCATTTCTTATACTTTATGACGAATCATAAAATGAAAGGGAGGTTCTTAAGTCAATTAGTAAGCAAACTTGTTTATAATACTAACGAATTAACATCCTAGCATCGCTAGAATAAAACAGGCGATTAGTACCGCCCTCAAGAATCGACGACTTATTGCACCCATTGCACAAAGTAGAACCAAAATAATTTAGAAAACTATTAAACAGTATATAAATTTACAGTTTTTATCTTATCATCTGGAAAAATAGGTTCAACATTTTCATCTAACTCCTGCGCTCTATGTAGTATTACAGCCAGGTTGATTTTCTCTTTAAGGCAATACTTAAAACTTTCATAATTTGTTAATTTCTTTATTGTTATGTAATATTTCTAAACTTATCTGTAAAAATTAATAGATTAATAGAAAAAAAGTGCACCGAACAAAGAAAATTGCTACGGTCCGAAAACGTAGAAAAATTGAATTTGAAAACAAAAAAAAAACGAAGGATGAAACAAATTTATAAAAAAATTGGATATATCTATATGTAGATAAAAAGTTATATTCACATGTTCTTTTTTTGTGAGTCTTAAAAGTGATATGGCCTTATTATAGACTTAATATGGTGAATGGTTAAATTTAAAATAATATTCGATTCTATTAGATAGTATTAGATTTAATATAGGTATGTAAAATACAAAAAAAACTGTAAAAATTTTCTATTTAGTTATCATCCACCTACATTATATATTAGGGTTAATCCATATACTTAGGCAAATGTTTCCGTACACCTCATCCACTTTGTATTCTCGAGATGTCCGCTACAGAATCTTTAAACTTAAATCAAAAGCTATATGTCAAAAACGTGACCGAACTTTCAATATTATCTGCATGTGCTAGTTTTAAACTGATATCTGCTTAGACTACGTATAGATAAAAATGAGAGGAATTGATTTATACAATTAACACAGGTGGATATGTTATATAAATATTATACGTAAATAACATATTTTTATAATAATTTTTTTTATAAACGAAGTATAATATAAAATGAGACTTAGATCAACAGACCAATTTAAATCAAAGTAAATACTTACAACAAAAAGTCCTGTTCCCAACATGGTGTCGCTCCTTTAACAGTTACTGTTGTCGATTTAACGTTTTGAAGTTTGAGAGTGACGTACGTGTTAAATTGTTGTGCTGCAAAAAAAGAAAAATTATTAATAAATATCTCTTTAAGTTAATAATGTTTAATAGGTTTTTAAAGAAGATGATGATGACGTGATTTAAAAAAATAATAATTCTGCAAATGAGGGCTTTATAAAGCGAAAGTCTCTTTTTTTGCTTAAAAAAAAATTTAGCTTCTTTTCCGAAATTTCTTTCGGAGTAGCATTGTTTATTTTAACATTTGTTACTTATGTATTTCTTCATGTTGTTTCTTCATCCATTGCTCTTAAACTTTTTCGACCATATTTTTTCCCGTTATTCATTCAATTTTGTTTGTTGTACCTATCCATTTCTTTCTTGATCTACCGTTTTTCGTTTCTTTGATGTATTTGCTTCTATTACTATTCTTTTTCTTCTTGGTGTGTCTCATCCTTTAAGGATATTGGGGAGCATCACCACCCATTTTACTCTGTCTACACCAGTTCTGAAGAGGTCTATTATTGTTCTTCTACTCCACTACTTTACAATTTTTAACCAAGCCATGTGTCGTTCCCTTCCTTTTGTGCCTTCCACTTTTACTTTTATAACCAATCGCATTAACCCAATCGTTTCCTAGGCTCTATACCCACTACAGTGGAAAATCGAAATTGATGGAAAAATACTAAAGCAGGAAGCAATGTTTAGATACCTGGGAATAGATATAACTAGTTACGGAGATGTTAGAGAAGAAGTACGACAACAAAGCTTAAAAGCAAGTAAAGCGGCGGAATCTATTAATGAAACAATCTGGAAAAACAAACACCTAAGACAAGACACAAAAACAATAATCTATAAAGCAGAAATTAGACCTATATTAACATACACGGCGGAGACAAGACCTGACACATATAAAACAAGACGACTATTAGAAACAACAGATATAAAAATACTCCAAGAAATATTAAGGAAAGGTCTGTTGGATAGGGAAAAAAGCGAAAACATAAGAAGAGCATGTAATATAGAAGAAATAAATGGATGGGCGACAAAGCGGAAACAGGAATGGAGAGAACATATTAGAAGAATGGCAGAGGATAGGAGAGTACGAATAGCACGAGATAAGACACAAAATAGACGAAGAAGTATTGGCAGACCAAGACAACGATGGTGCCACAATTTAGGAGGCTAATATTAAAAAAGAAACAGACTTTAAAGCCTACATACAAGAAGAAAGAAGGAGAAGAAGCAGAACTATCAGTAAAAGAGTTACGTAAACAACTAGAAGAACAAGACGAAGCGGATCAGCACTTCAATTAGCAGAAGAAGAAGTTTTACGAAGAGCAAAGAAACTTCTAAAAAGAATGATGAACGATTTGAAAATTTTTCTCAAATAATCGAATAAACTTTTAAAAAGAACAATGAAAAATTTGAAGTAGTTTCTAGAACATTCGATAAGGTAGAAAAGAAGATCAAACAGTTAGAGAGTATGATAACCATTACAAAAGTGCTACCATCAGTTAATGCAGTAATAAAAAAAATCCTGTAGTGAAAGAAGAATCACCATCACCAATTTCCACCTTCTGATGGGAAGTCGTCTTAGGTTATATACCTAAGACTTTAAAGCTACTGCGACAGCCAATCATTGGACATAACAAGAAAAGACTGTTTCCTGGACTGCTGCGTTACGAAGTAATGCTGCGAATATCATAAGATTGATTCCTAAAGTCAAGAAAATGTTTCCAGACCTTGTTTACTCGACTATACAAACGTTACGGAGATGTCCATTTACAACAATTTTAAAAAAGAAATAGAATTCAATAAGTAAGTGAGATTTTGCAAGAATTTAGAGCAGATGATTTAGAGCAAGAACACCTAAACAAGTTACAGTCCTTTGAAATGTGGTGTAACAGAAGGATGCTTAGAATAGCATGGACACAGAAGAAAACTAACACGGAAGTATTGCGAGAAATGGGCAAAGAATACGAAATAATAAACATAATAAAAATAAGAAAGTTATAATATCTAGGACACGTAATGAGGGGACAATGATATGAACTGCTAAGGCTGATAATACAGGGAAAGATAAGAGGAAGAAGGAGTATAGGAAAAAGGAGAGTGTCGTGGTTGAGGAATTTAAGAGACTGGTTTAAATGCAGTTCTATAGAACTCTTTAGAGCAGCAGAAGATAAAGTGAAGATAGTAATGATGATATCCAACCTCCGATTGGGAGACGGCTCTTAAAGAAGAAGAAGAGCAGATGTTGCTTGTTTAGCGCAGTTGGCTTATCCGATAACATATAAGCAAAAATTGCTGTAGATATATTCTTCGATAGGTTGAGATACAGTGAACTACAGAAAGCTTTACGACCAGCAAAGCCGAACGTTTCAAATGAAGCGCTCGACATTGCCCTGGAACACGAGACAGCTAGTCAAGCTTCATGAAGCTAGCGAGTCCGATGATGGTACAGAATCTAAGCTTCAGCTGATTGTACCAAAAAGTATTGATAAAAGAATAAACGGAAAAACATATAATATAATAAATTCAACATTTCTCGGGAAAAGAGACATACCAAAGAAGATAAAAGAGGTAGTCTTTAAAACAGTAGTAAGACCTACAACTATGTACAGTCACAAGACGTAGATACTAACAGAGAAACTAATATCAAGAAGAAAGAGTTCGGAAGATCAACCAAATCACCTTAAACTTAAAGATAGAACTGCTTTAGTAAAAAGCTAGTTGGTTGTACTAAGTAAGTAAGTTTTTTATCAGTAATATTTTGACAGTTAAGAAAAAGAAACCACCAAATAGTAATTCTGATTTGAGATTAAATATCTTATTTCAGAAACAGCAACTGTAACTGAAAAAAAAGTAAGGCCAAACCTGATTTTTATCGAAAAGCAAATATTTACGCAAAAAGTTTAATAACTAATGCTATCAGTGACAACGTTTATCAAAAAAATATGGACAAAGAATCAGCTTTTGATGCTTAGCTCGCTCTTAAGCAACAGTTTAAAGCCTCATCCAAAGAACAGTTGTGTAAACTTTGCTTAAATGTCTTTTCTTTATCGTGAAATGTTGTAGATCGTGTTTCAACACACATTGAAAAGTTAAAACAAATTTTCAATTAGCTAAATAACGGACTTGAAATGAAGCAATTAAGTAAGGTACCAGATATAATAAAGTATTTGACCACAAAAAGTAGTGTAGCAAAATTATTAATTATTTTTAAAAATAGACTACAATCCCTTTAATTTAAAAGTTTTTGTTTGTCAAGAATATTGTTTCAGATTATTAAGTTCAAGTTGATTTAAAATAAAGTAAGTAGCTTTTGTGAAAGCAGGAAGGCTGGCGCGATTGAGTCTGCATCCCACATAAAAACATTAGCAAGTAGAACGAAAAAGCCCTAAAGTGAACGTAATCTTCGTGAGAGAATTTACAGTGGCGATGCTGGTGGAATGAGTTCGACATTGCGTAGGGGTAGCTTTTGCATTTGCAAAGAAAAATAAACGAACTTAACATAAAAAAGTATTAAACCTTTAAAAGAATATGGCAAGTTTGGGTGTAAAGTGGGATAACAAATCTAAGGTAAACTTTAAAATTTTTAGCGAGTTTATCTTAGCACGGTTTTGAGATAAGTATAGACCAGGAAATAATAATTTATTAAGTTGCTTTAAGTAAAGTTATGATAGTTATGATCCCAGGATCAAGTATTCCACTTTGTGTTTCTTTTAATCTCGTGTATAATGTAATTAATTTTATTCATTTTTATTTTTCAGATGCCACGTAAGTACTCAACTAAAATACTGCAGCAATGAAAAGAGTTCCACTTGATGCAGAAAATTTTAAAGCGGCAGTAAATGCGGTAAAAAATTAAGGAAGCTACAAAGCATCCGCTAGGCAGTTCGGAATAAATGTTATGACATTGAAGAGATTGTGCAGAAAAAACATGATATCTCTCCCAGGCTACAAGGTGCGCCAGGTTGTTTCACTTGACCAGAAAAAAGAAGTTGGTATGTTTTCGAAAGATATGTCCAAGATATATTACGGTCTTACGGTGGTGCAATTGAGCAAATTGTCATACTATTATGCTGCAACAAATAGGATATCATATGTCCTGCTTGGGATAAAACAAAGTAAGCTGGCCGCGACTGGTACCGAAATTTTCTTGATAGAAACCCTACGCTGTCATTAAGGACACCAGAAGCCACAAGCTTAGCACGAAGCTCAGCTTTTAATCGTCACACAGTTGGTACATTCTTTAATCAATTAATAAATGTTTATACACGGTACCAGTTTCCTCCTGAAACGTATTTGAAATATTGACAAAACTGGCCTCACTACAGTACACAAACCTGCTAAAATAATTGCTGTAAAAGGGTTGAAGCAGGTGGGCAAACTTACATCTGCAGAACGAGACAAACTGATTATGGTGTGTGTTGGCATTAATTCTGCGGGGATCACATGCCTCGTTACATGATATTTACCAGAAAAAACTGGCAGGACAGGTTTAGGGCCGTGGACCTCCTTGGGGCAGCAATGCAACCAGATGTCCCAGTGGATGGATGACTTGCTTTGGTTTTCTGAAGTTTTTGGAACACTTTGTTCGTTTCGCTCAGCCAAGCTCAGATCGGTATCTACAACCATGAGAGCCACTGCTCATTGGAGGCTGTAAATTATGCGAGAGACAACAGCATGGTATTTCTTACAACTCCGTCGCACACTTCTCATAAGTTGCAGCCATTGGATTGCGCGATTTTTGATCCACTAAAGACTTACCGTTTACGACAGTGCAGAACTGCTTGGAGATGCGTTCCCCTGAGCCATGGCTCCTTCAAATATCAGAAGAGGGTTCAAAGTATCTGGAATATGACCGATAAATCCAAACATATTTACTGACGACTAATTTATGACCAGCGCTGTGACGGACCGTCCAGACCCAACTTTGATTCAGGAATCCGTTCTGGATCCAATACAGCCAACGTTTAGTGTTAGTACATCAATTTCTATAGAACCAACGTTGTCTAGGGCCCTAACCTTGCATTTCAATATCGGATATAATGTATGTGAAACATTTTTCTACATAGAAAGACATCATGTCCTATCCCAAGGCAGCACCTTGGTGCCCAATCTTCTCGAGGTAGAAAACGGGAGCACTCTCGCATCCTAACCGATACCCCTGAAAAAGCGGAAATTGAAGAACTTGCTCTTAAGAAAGCCGCAATCAATAAGAAAATAGTAGAAAAGCTTCCAACACTTAGAAACACTGAACTTTTCAATTCATATTGAAATACATTGAAAGTTAAATACTTAAGGCAAAAAGGACTAGGAGGAAGTTGTTTCACTTTTTCAACAGTAGAGGACGTCAGCGAAGTGGACAGGACTGCTGACATTATAAAATTTAACCATAAATTTGATGCTAATTTTTTCTAAATAACTGTTCTTTTTTATATATAA